GTCGGAAGCAGCTGAAAAATGCTGTGCGAAACATCTGCGACGACGGACGCAAGGTGCCCTGGGATCCAGACAAGGGCCCGAGGAATAGGTGGCTGGATGGGTTTATGGGGAGGCACCCGCGATTGTCGGAGCGAACCACCCACATCTTCGAAGCAAACCGGATCAACGAAGACGACCAGCCTCGCCTAGAATCTTTCTACGAGGCATGGAGCGCGTACATCGCGACAACGTTCCTTGTTGTGGAACACACCTGCCTACCAAAGGATGTTGAGTGGAAGTGCAAGATGAAGATGAAAAAGTTGAATGATCTTGGGGGTTCCGTGGGTAATTTCTTACCGTAGCGGCCAGCTCAGGTAGGCGTGTAGGAACGGGCATAACTTGGTTGGCGCAACGTTTTTCATACTAGTTTTTTTTCAGAGACGTCATTACGGCTCTTGCCATGTGCGCAGCACCGCCGTAAGGTAAAACAAACGGCGGCATCCGTCCTTGATTTGGGGCGAGAAACCCGGGGATGCGAGAATTTTGTCCCCGGTTGTGCATGATTTCCATTTTTTTTTTCAAGTGACGGAATGTTTCAACAGTAGGCGCATATATAAAATTAGATCATCAAACGCTTTAGGACGCACCGAATCAGCTACAAAGGCAAAGTGTCCTTTATTTGGGCGCCGGGGGTGTTATCCTCCGTTTTACGGTAATACTTCAGGTACAATACAACAGCCATAACTCATCAACACTTGAGTGTTTTTTTTTTTTGAGAGATAGCCTATGACATAGTCTACCCTTGGATGCTTTTGTACATTTCAAATTCGTTCTCACGCCCGAGAACGAGCTGTTGCCGTGGGAGAGGCTTAGTGTCCCTTAGTTGGTCGTTTTACTCTACCCCGGGAATTCGTTCTCGGCGGTGAGTTCAAGATGGGAAGAGGCCACGAGCACTTGCCGGTAGTGACGGAAGCAAAAGAGAAAGGAAGCCACGCGCAAAGGCCTGCGGGCGCCAGGAATGCGGTCACCACCACTCCCGGCGAGACATGTAATCTGTGCCCACGGGGGGAGCATTTGGAAACTGTGTGCTGCATGTCACAGGTCGGCTGATGAGAAGGGCCTCACGCACATCGTCAGCATTTCTACAGCTAGATATATTTGCGCCAGAATAACGACTCTACCCGGGAGCGTCGTGCATGGGTATCATCCGGACTGTAGTCATTGCCTCTGCCAACGCGAAGACTGCTTCCACCACTTCGTTGTTACGGGCACCAGGACGAGGTTGAAGAGGAAGTGCGACGAGTGCAAGCAAACTTTCCCGGTCAAGGGAAGGAGATGGCACCTCGCGGTACACGACAAGGACGGGGGGGGGTCCTCGCGTGAGGCTTCCTTGCGTTGCCACGCCTGCTTTATGCGGGATCAGAACAGGAGGTCCACGTCAGCATCGCAAACGCCAGCCGGTAGTCGACCCGATGTCGTCGCTCCCACCACCTCGTCGCCAACCCCATCCGGTAGCGTACCTGATGTTGTTCCTGTCACCTCGGCGTCGCAGGAGGCAGGTGGTAGTGGACAATATGTGCCGGCAAGTACCAACTCCTCTCAACCGCAAGTTGAAAGTGGAACCGAGCCTGTCACCGCCCTCACCTCGTTGCAAGCGACACCCGGCCGCATGGTCGAATTGGCTGGTGCGCCCGCGTTACTCCAACCACGGCCCCCAAGCGCTGTTGAAGTCTCTGGCCAAGCGGCGGTGGATCGAAGAGCTGTGGAAAAGGTGCGTTCTAGGGTGGAGGAAGCGGTTGGGCAGGGGGAGATCGTGTACTGGAAGGACGCGGCGGGGTGGCTATCACCTGAACGCGCGAGGGCTGGCGATAAAGACGTTTGTATGCCGTACACACGAAAGATCGTGCGTACGATGTTCAACAGCATCGCCGATTCTCCCGGGAGTATATCGCTGGTGGTCTGTCCCGGAAAAGGAAACCATGGGGGAGAGGACGCACGCGAGAGACATCTCTGTCTCTTCCCACGAAACCTTCGGAACGGGTTGTCGTTGGGCACCTCGTTCAGGCTCGGAAGAGGAGAGACCCCGCCGCGCACGAGCCCGACAGCTCGGAGGGGCGAGAGTCGCATCTTGACGGAGAGCTGGAGCGGGTGATTGAGGACGTAGCGGATAGACACGCGAGGATGGCGGCGACCAAGGCAGCAGGGGCGATCGTCGACAGTCATCGGGCAGCAGTTAAGCCTCAAGAACGTACCCCCTAGTGGAGCGAAGCACAACTATGCCCAGGAGCTAGCAACAACTGTAAAATCAGCTCCCGAGACACTAGCCGCGCTGCCCCCGACCACAGTAGGGCTTTTCCAGACGTTAGTAAACCAGCCTTTGTGCCGCGAAGTCAGCTCCCTAACCCCCACGGGTTAGGGACCTGGCTGGGTGTGGGAGGCCGGGTGGCGCGATGTCCATCGGCGTCGCGACAACGGCGACGGAGGCGTCGAGTCGAGACGGGCAGACACGAGCGGAGTCGACAGAGGCCCGGCATAATCTCTCGGTACCTCCGTCAAGGGGCGGGGGCCGGGGGCATAAGGCGGGCCGTCTGTACAACCTATGTCTGAAAAAGACGCTGAGGAGATGGACAAGGCCAACCGTAATTTTCGGTCTGTAGGTCGGCGGCTTGTAATGATATGCACGGGCGTGGTAAAAGCCGTTTTAGGCCCACGGTACATGGCTTCGCATCATATCAAAGCGGCTCAGTGGGCCAAGTCGAAAGGTACCCCTCGGATGGTGGTCGACTTCTGCGCGGCCCATGGCATGTGGGCGACGGATTCGCAAGTACGGCATCGAGAGGATTCCAACGCGAAGGTCGTGGAGGACGGCGATAAGCTTCCGAAGGATGCCACCTGTGGTGCGTTTCCGTTCGACAACTGTGACATGAAACCCGTGGTTGGAGTTAGCCAGGGGGAGCCTCATCTGTCGACGATCGCGGCTTCGGCCGTCACGGTGGGGGGGTCGGTGGGGAAACTCGAAGACGCCTCGAGGTTGAAGCGGTATAGCCTCCTGACCTTGGACGACGTGATGAAGGGGCCAAATGCACACGGGGGGGAGCGGCGGTCCGAGTCCTTCCAGTCACAGCTCCGACGTGCCGTTTACGAGAGCGCGTCGTCAGGTTTGACACCGGACGGGCCGCTGCGGTGTGTGGAGGCTCAACTCCGAAAGGTTGGTTGGTGTGGTGTGGTGTGGTGCTGTAAGTGAACCTTTCCGTTAGGATGTGAGTCGTCGATTTCCGAAAACATTTGTACCCTTTGAGGATAATGCAGTAAACGCGGGACCGTAATAGAAGCAAAAGTAGACAACTTGCAACGCTTGATTGCTNCGGGGGGGAGCGGCGGTCCGAGTCCTTCCAGTCACAGCTCCGACGTGCCGTTTACGAGAGCGCGTCGTCAGGTTTGACACCGGACGGGCCGCTGCGGTGTGTGGAGGCTCAACTCCGAAAGGTTGGTTGGTGTGGTGTGGTGTGGTGCTGTAAGTGAACCTTTCCGTTAGGATGTGAGTCGTCGATTTCCGAAAACATTTGTACCCTTTGAGGATAATGCAGTAAACGCGGGACCGTAATAGAAGCAAAAGTAGACAACTTGCAACGCTTGATTGCTGTACGGCTTTTTTGGGGGTGAGCAATGAAAACAATGGAAGGTGCTGATTTTTGTATTGTTCAACTCGAATTATTGTTGGGTTGCTCTTGGTCGTTTGAAGGATTGCTGGTGTGAAGGCGATAGTTGAGGCGAAGCAAACGTTATTCTGTCTTTCTTAGTCCCTCCGTCCCTTCGAATTTCCCGCTCTAAAAATACGCTTACGCAACCACGTTTTTCGACACAGGATCTAACGCCGGAGGAGAGAGCTACGGCCGGTACGTGTTCATCCAACTAGGGAGTACAAAAAACTTCACCGACAACAAGGCGGCCATCGACCGCATCCTCCGGATATGGCGTGTGCTCGTGTGGGGTGTGGGGAGAGGGTGTGCTCGTGTGGGGTGGGTGGAAACCGCACGGGCTGGATAGATAGGTGGCACCTCCACCATTTGCCCTCTGTGCTGGGATCCTTGCCTTTGTTTCATTCGTGAAAGTTCGGCTCATCTGGGCTGCTGTGGTGTGTCTGTGCGTGTGCAGTTCTTTCGTGTAGTCCCTGTGGTCAAGAACTTGCTGTATTTTTTGGAGTCAAGGACTGCTGTCTACTGTAGTTGGACCATATTTACCAGCGTGTGTGACGTTCTGGAGTCAGATTAGTATGTTTGTTCTTTGTTGTCAGTTTTGCCGCCGCCGACTGACGTACATAGTGATTTGACAACCATCGGGCCGACGTTAGGAGCAGTCTTGCTTGTACATTTGGTTGAATATTACTCGACCCAATACAAATAACGCGTTGGACAATAAACGGTCTTTCTTCTACGGTAACGTCGTACGTGTACTTAATCGGAGGTGGAAGTCTCGTTCCACCCTATCCCTTTCACACGTACGTACGTTATGCTCTCCGTCGACAGGACAGGACTTCGCCCTGCCACAGTTTTATGCGAAAAAATGCGTGCGCCCTGCGTGCGCCCTGCGTGCGCCCTGCGTGCGCCCTGCGTGCGCCCTGCGGGCGATATACCCACAACTAATGTTGGAAGTACTTCGTTCATTTCAGGGAATAGAAGTGATCACGGACGGGTTCCTTTGTCCCCAGGGATCAAAAATCACTTTTCAATAGTTTTTTTTTGTCTCCTACTCCGACCAGAAAGCGGGCAACAAAATGATGATCGCGAAAGAGAGGAGAGGAACGGGCTCTCTTATTGGTTGTCCCGCAGTTTCGCGGTGCAACAACACCGTAGAGCAGTTGGGTTCAGAAAGGGTACGCGCCGATTACGCGTACTCGACCTATACAGCATAACACAACCGAATTCAAAGTGCTATACACCCGCAAGAGAGGGCAGCTACAAGATGCGAGACATCCTGCGGAAACAGACCTGAGACACCGAAGCATGACGCCACCGTGTTTTTCAACCAAATCTGTCCTCCCCGCCACCTACACGCAACGAATCACTGTAAGAGTTTTTCATCTTGCTCTCTACCCAACAGTTCGCATTTGTGCCAAGTTTCGTGCCAATTGGCAACGTATGCAGCGCGTTTAGGCCTGTGCTCCATAGGTGATCACCGAAAATCACCGAATTTTGAAAACTTCACCGAAAAAAGCGAGGAATTTGAATCACCGAGAAAATAGTGGCCGATCACCGAAAACGGGGGGCGCCTCACCGAATTTCACCGTTTTTTTTAGGGGGCTCCGTGTATACATGCCGTACCCCCTAAATCCTAGCAGATACCCCCCTCGAGCGCAGCAGCGCAGCAGCACAACAGCACAGCAGCACACAGCGTATACAACCCAAGCGCCGCGCTGCAGACACCACACACGGTACACAGTACGGACACACTTTGTGGTATAGATGAGCGGTCTCCTCGGAGTAGCGCTGTACTCCAGCGGTAGTGATCGCGAAGATTCCGAATGTGAGCTTGCGGCGGCGACGGCGGCTCCAGCGGCGGCGGCGGCTGCGGCGGCGGCGGCTACTGCTAGTATCCCACAATCTGCATCTGCTGCTTGGGTGGCTAACCGCCATCGTGTCGGATTTCGTCGTGCTGCCATTCGTAGCACCTCGACCGCCCAAGGTGACAGTGACCGTCGTAATGGAGCCGGTGCTGCTGGCGTCCCCGCGCCTGGCCGGGATGTCAGAGCTCGTGTTGCCGTTCCTACCACCTCGGCCGCCCAAGGTGACAGTGACCGTCGCCATGGAGCCGGTGCTTCTAGCGTCCCCGCGCCAGGCAAAGGGACCTTACTGGCGTGGGTCCAAATAGATGGCGCTGCAGCCCAAAAAAGAGCCAACTCTAGTGCGAAACGAGCTCAGGAGAAACGGCAGAAGAGAGTAGAAATTATCGCCGACACCCTTCCTGTACCCGAGCGGGAGGAGCGCATCAACCAACGGCGCGCAGCCGTCTCCAACAGCAGCAGGAGGGGAGAATTCGCCGAGAGGGCGCAATCTTCGGGCCGCAGTTTGACACCGCGTGGACCGAAGCGCGGGCAGATCCCCAAGAAAGACGCCCAAGTGTCCGTATATCAACGGATTCAAGAATTCCCCAACCAGTCTCTGTACGTGATCGACACCGGCGTCATGGGGTGTCGCGCGTGCCATGGCAAGATCGTCTCACTGCACAAGGACCGAACAAAGACCCACTGCAAGGGGAAGAAGCACGTACTCAATGTGAAGAAGCTGTTCCAAACCAAGGAAGAGGACAAAGTGAGAAACTGTTTAATACCACGTAAAAGTAGTCGTTTGCAATTGGTTGGTACGCTGCTGTTTCTCGGGGTATGGGTGTGACTGTGCTTTCTGACAAATACACTGTGTTCGCAGCTTGTGGTTGCCGAGTGCTGCTGGGTACGTCTCTGCCATGTTTTGCATGGCGCTGTTCCCTTCGACAGCTTGTCGTCAATCGCAGTGATTCATTTTTTCGTACAACCCTGCATCGTCATGCTATCGCTTGCTCGGCTGTTGTTGTTGCACAAGAACACGCTCCACGCGCATGCCGAGGTGTCGGAGGAGTCAGGAGGCATGTACGGAGACGCCCTGAGCGACGAAGCCAAGCTGACGCAGATCAAGGCGGTGAAGGGGTGTTTGGCGGCAGGCATCCCGCTGAACGCGATGGACAACCCGATTTTTCGTTCTTTCCTCAGCCACTGCAATGTGGATTTGCCTCACCGTGCGCACCTGGCAAAATACGTGCCGTTCATCCTGGCGGAGGAGGTGAGGTAGACCTTGCTTTGGATGTACTTCGTGAGTGCGCAGTGAGACATGGCATGTTGAACGCTTCTGCACATCTGCGGTTGCTCAATCCACAACACGGTCGAGTGCAAAACACAGAGCTTCTTGTCCTACCATTGCAACACGTTTTTAGTCATCTCCCGCTGGCACCCCGCCCCGTATTTCTGTGCTTCTTCGTGTTTTATATATGGTGCAACAGCGGAAGAAGCTCCAAGACGAGATCGGCAACCGCCCCTACGCCATCTGCTTCGACGCTACGCCGTGGCTTGCCGAGTGCTTTGGGTTGGGGGTCCGATTCATCGACTCCAGTGGAAAAGTACGTGATGGTCGGCAAAGGGGTATTGCCGTGTTCTCGTCTGCTCTCGCGCTCTCGCGAGATTTGACACCAAGAAATCAACGTAGACCCGAAGTCAATCAGTTTGGCATGACTCATGATTTCACGACGCCAACCTCATCAATCCTTCCTTGCCTCCCCCACCCCCTCTCTCACGCCCGCCTTTCCCATCCTGCATTTTACAGCCGGTGCAGCGTGTTCTGCACTTGAGCATGCTGAAGAAGAGCATGACGGGGGCGGACATCGCGGGCGAGGTTAACCGAATCGTCACCCATCAATTCCGCCTCGACCCCAACAACTGCCGCGCCGTGATGGGTGACAGCTGCGCGGCCAACCTCCTTGCTATGGATTCGCTTCTCCTGGTGTTCAGGTTCGCCGTCGTCATCCCGTGCTTCTCCCACACCTTCAACAACATCGGCAAGCAGCTGGTATGCGAGGAGATCGACGTATTCCTGGGCAAGCTCCACACCCTGCTTTCGCACAGCGCCTTCGCCAAGGACCTGTTCCGCAAGGAAGTCGGGGTACGCGCTCCCGAAACGCCGGGACACCGTTGGGGCTCGAGATTCGAGCGGGACGAAGTGATCGCTGTGAACTGGCCTGGTGTGGGGAAGTTCGTCGAGAAGTACGAGAGCCAGGACGACACCAAAAGCAAGGCGGTGAAGTTCATGAGGGACGACCTGGCGAAACTCAGGGACGATGGCAAGGCCCAGAGCTTGGTGCTCCAGTTGCAGCTGGCTTTGACGGTGGACGTCGGCCGCATCATTACTAGCGCCACAATTTTTCTGGAGGGGGACATGCCGCTGGTACGTATCTATTTGATGCCACCTCTCACCTCTCTCTTCTTTTTGGTTCTCGTTCAGACGGAATGATTCGAAAGCCTCCCCCGGCGATGCATGAAACATGTTCTCGTTTGCGCCTGTCCCCCCCGCTCGCCGATATTCTCAGGCGCACAAGACGTACAACGTTATTGAACGAGTCCGCAACAAGCTCGAGCTGCCCGAGGATGGAATCTTCTCTGAGGACGTGCCGCTGCCCAACGTCGCTGCACTTGTCGCGAAGGAGGTCGGCCAAGGCGATGACATGGTATGTATGCTGTTGACCGTTATTCACGCTGATGTTTTTGTTTTGTTGTGTGTCGTAGTGTTACCTGCTGTATGTAGTTAAATAGTGTTATATTTTCTTTGAGCATGACAAAAAAAACTAGCAGGTGGTGACATCCCCTCCTCTTGCTGTCGGCGATTTCCCTTTCTTATGCAGGGGGCAACCGCTGACTTGATTCAGAGCGAAATGCAGGACATGCTCGACGCCCTTCGCAGGTACGCACACGAGAGGATCGGCAGCCACTCTGAGGCGAAGCTGGCTGAAACAATGAAGCTCTTCAAAGCCGCAAAGCTCACGGACTTCACGTACATGAAGACTCACAAGTACTCCAACGACGAGATACGCAGCCTCTCGGTATTCCCCTTTGTCGACGATGACATGATGGACGGGCTTCTGAAGGAGAAGAACGACTTCTACGTCGCCGCCACCGACACCGACACTGACTACGACAACATGACTTTCTGGAGCGACAACAAGAAAAATCTCCCTACGTGGCACGAGTTGGTGTTGGATGTTGTTCTTCTGCAGCCGTCGTCAGCTTTCATGGAACGCGTTTTTTCCATCTTGCGGTGTTGCTTTAGTGAACGTCAAGAGTCGGTGTACAGCGACCGCATATGCGCTTCCGCACTACTGAAGTACAATAGGGGAAGGGGAAGTAACAGAGGGCTGAGGCAAGCGGGTGAGGATGCCCCGGAAGATGGCGACCTTGACCTGTGATGGATCTTCTTGGTTTGTTTATTGTCTACGTTGTGGGCGAGCCGGGCTCTGGCTGAATGTAGTGCGTAGTGCGTGCCTGTGTACCTATCGTTAGAGTTGAATCGTTTCGGAGGGCATCTATCGGTCTTCTGTCGTTGATGAGCTGATGATCAGATACATGCGTAAAAGAACACCAGAGTTCGTTTTAACGTTTTAACGTGGAGTACTTCCTACGATCCTTGAAGACATCGCCGAAAATCGCCGAAGAACGGTGTCGGCAGCTTCCCACACTTCAAAATTATCACCGAAAAGCACCGAAACATATTTTTTTTACTTTCACCTTTTTTTTAATTTGTCGCCGATTTTCACCGAAAAACATTTCAGTGCACCTGGAATAATCACCGATTTTTATTTCGGTAATCGGAAAAAATCACCGAAAAAAAAAAAAAAATGTCACCTATGGAGCACAGGCCTAAGCGCGTTCTCGTGTTCACAAGGGATGTGCCGTCGGCTCGCTCGAGGTTCCGCCGCGTCTTTGAGGGCTCGAATGCTTTTCCATACTTTTTTGGGGCCGACTTGAGGTCTTTCACTGCTGAGTTCTAGCGCNTCTCGTGTTCACAAGGGATGTGCCGTCGGCTCGCTCGAGGTTCCGCCGCGTCTTTGAGGGCTCGAATGCTTTTCCATACTTTTTTGGGGCCGACTTGAGGTCTTTCACTGCTGAGTTCTAGCGCCGTGGTGCATGGAATTTCATACTTCTTGGGTCCGTCGCTAGCTATTGGAGACATCTATAGCCATCGCGCTTCATCTTCGAGGGGTGGCTCTGCTGTATGCGTGTACAGCACCGCAGACTGCGAATTGGCACTTAGGTACGTCCCATTTTTTTTTTGCTACGCGCAGCACTTCCACTACAAGACTGCAGACATGGAAAATGACTCACCTCGAGGGGAAGCAAATGCTCGGGTCTACCATCACGGACGCGTGTACATGCAGCTTGAGCTATTTATTATTTATCTCTGTAGCAGCCCCTCTGCATTCCAGACTCTCTGCAGGGCAGCAACACTTCGCGGCAGAGAGTAGTAGAACAACGGGTGGGGTGGATCCAAAGTCTCAAGAAGTTGGAGTGCACGCAACTAGGAATTTCTATTTTCACCCATACCATCTGTATACGAGAAATGTATCTGTTGTGCCTCCACGACGATCAAGTCGTTCATCGCCACACAAGTGCACCACGGTTTGGTTTAGGAGGCAAGGCAAGGCGCACAGAGACGAAATGCGGAGAGGAAATGTGAGTGGGAACATGCGTCAAGGCAGTGAGAAGTGTACTGCATGCGCGACAAGACTATTATTACTTGAAGTGATCGCAACCGGGCCATAGTTGCCTACAATGTCTGTAAGACTACATGATTGCATGTGTAGTCCAGCCGCGTCCTGGCAGTACAGGTAGACTGCTGTGCGAATCCCGGTACTGCTGTGCCGCCTTCGTAGCACACGGGCTGGTATTGTTGGAACGCTCGGTTAAAACATTCACCAGCTCTTGGGCCCGTGTTGTGTGTAAAGCGTCGAGACAAACACAGAGGAGAGGAAAATTGCCCGCCACGGCGAATTTATCCTTAGGAGGTTTCTTACGGTTTGAAAATTTCCAGTTGAAAAATTGAAATTTTCAATTCCCAGCCGAACATAGCTTCTTAGGCTGAGTCTTACGGCGTGATTATTTCTGAGATTTTTTTTTTCTCTCGGGGGGGGGGGGGGGG